TCGAGGGCCCCGGCATCGAGTGGGACGCGCAGGGATGAAGACGGGCGGCGGCCGGTGGCCGCCCCACCCCCCCCCGGCCCTCAGGCGCGCGGTGCCGCCCGCTGAGCGGAGGGCTCCTCCTCCTCCTCCCCTCCTCCTCACCTCCTCCTCCTCCTCCTCCTCCTCCTCCTCCTCCTCCTCCTCCTTCCACCTCCTCCTATCCTCCTCCTCCTCCTCCTCCTCCTCAATCCTCCTCCTCTCCTCCTCCTCCTCCCCTCCCTCCTCCTCCTCCTCCACCTCCTCCTCCTCCTCCTCCTCCCTCCCCCTCCTCCTCTCTCCTCCCCCCTCCTCCTCCTCCTCTCCTCCTCCTCCTCCTCCCTCTCCTCCTCCTCCGCCTCTCCTCCTCCTTCTCATCCTCCTCCTTCTCTCGTCGTTCGTCTCCCTCCCTCCGCCCTTCCGCTGTCTCCACTCCCGCCCTCTCCCCGCTCGGAGGCAGCAACGAGGGGGGTGAGGACGAGGGGGGCGTGGAGATCGTGGCGTGGGCCATGAGATTTCCTCCGATTTCATGGCGCCTCGTCTTGTTTCATTACGTCCCTGGCCCCCCCCCCCTGGGCCGCGCACATGCCGCCTGCCATGATTTGCACCCCCCCCTCTTGGACGCCCCCCTCTTGGCCACTCCCGACCCTCCGCCTTCTGCCCTCCCCGCTCCTTCTCGCAGGATTTCGGATCGCGGGTGTCGTGAAGAGAGCCGCGGAAAGAGAAGCGAACGCGATGTTCCTCCCTCCGTCCCTCCCTCCCTCCCTCCCCCTCCGCCTTCCCCTCTCTCGCTTTCCCTCCCTCCCTCGTGCCCTCCCCCTCCGCCTTCTACCCTCCCCCATCCGCCTTCTCCCTCCCTCCCCTCCCTCCGCCTTCCCCCTCCGCCTTCTATCCTCCCCCTCCGCCTTCTCCCCCATCCGCCTTCTCCTCCCTCGCCACTCCGGCTGAGGGAGCGGCGGGGAGGAGAAGGCGGAGGATGGGGGCAGGAGGAGGGACGGAGGAAAAGGAGGGCGGTGGGGGAGACCGAGGAAGGGGGCAGAGGAGGAGGAGGAGGAGGAGCAGGAGGAGAAGGAGGAGGAGGAAAAGGAGAGGCCGGGGAATTGTGGAGCCCCTCGTCGTTTTGATATGGGTTGTATCGAGTGGAACGGTCCTTCATCTGTATAAACTTTGATGTGGTTTGCAATTGTTCTGTTCGCCGTGATCCCCTCATAATATGCTTATCTCGTTATATCGTTATCTCGTTTTTTTTCTCTCTCTCTCTCTCTCTCTCTTAGTCTCTCTCTCTCTCTCTGTCTATCTCCTGCACCAGGCCAACACACGCCGATGCGGTACCAATCCATTGCCAACCAATGCCAATGCAATGTGAATGGTCGAATCCTCTCGCTCGGTGGATTTCAATCAGAATCCTTTCTGGACGGTATCATTACGACTCCTTCTTCGGAGGATTTCAATAGGAATGCTTTTGTGGAGGGTTTCGATAGGGATCCTCCTGTGGAGGGTTTTACTAGGAATCCTTCTTGTGGGGGTTCAGTAGGAGTCCTTCTGCGGAGGGACCCACTCGGACTCGCCAGCGTAATGCCAACGCATTGCCGAAGCAGTGCCATCGCAATGCCAACCAATGCCAAGGCGGTCCCAATCCAATGCCAATGCAGTGCCAATTGGGAGGAACCCTTTGTTATATTTTCCAAAGGAATCTTGCGTGTGGAGGGTTTCGATGGGAATCGTTTTGCGAAGGTGGCATTAGGACTCGCCAGCGCAATCCCAACGCAGTGCCAACGGAATGCCAAGCCAACACCAAGGCGATCCAAACTTAATGCCAATGCAGCGCCACTGGGTGTGGACTGCTTGTGGCAGCGTTCAATAGCAATCCGTCCAAGAACCCTTCTGTGGATGATGTCATCCACAAAGGAATCCTTCTAAGGATCCTTCTTCGGAGGATGTCAATAGGCATCCTTCTGTGGAGGGATTATCATGGAACCCTTCTGTGGAGGATTGCAGTGTGAATCCTTATTGCGGGGGGTCCATAGACATCGTTCTTGTGGACGTATTCAATCGGAATCCATATGTGGAGCGTTTGGTTGGGGCTCGCCAGCGCAATGCCATCGCAATGCCAACGCACTGGCATCGCAATGCCAACGCAATACCACTGCGATGTCAAACCGTTACCAAACCAATGCTAACGCAATCCCGATGGCATGAGTCCAGTCGTTCAGTATATTCTAACAGAATTCCGTATGTGGATGATTTGGTTGCGGATTCTTCTTCGGAGGATGTCGATTGGAATTTCCGTGTGGAGGGTTTTGGCAGGTATCCTTATGTGGAGGGTTTGACAATGCACCTTTCATGCGGGGGCTTTCAAAAGGAACCCTTCGTGTGGAAGGTTTCAATAGGAATCCTTCTATGATGGGCGCCAATAGAACTCGCCAGCGCAACGCCAAATCAGTGCCAACGCCATGCCAGACCAACGCCATGACAATCCCAAACCAATCCTAACAAAATGCCTGGGGGGAAATCGCTTGTGTTGGTCAGTTGCAATAGGGTTCCTTTTTTACGGAGGGCTTCGAACGGGTTCAATATGAACCCTTATTGTGGAATGCTGCAATCGGAATCATTCTTGTGTGGGGTTCAATATGGATCATTCTGCGAAGGGGGCTGCTGGAACTCGCCAACACAATGCCAAAGCAGTGCCAACGCAATGCCAACTTAATGCCATGGCGACCCCAAACCAATGTCAATGCAATGCCAATGGGGAAAACATGTGTGATAGATTTCAATCGGGATCCCTATGTGGAAGGCATCGCATGGAATCCTTCTGTGTAGGGTCTCAATATGAAGGAACCCTTTTTGTGTGGAGGGTTTCAATCGGAGGCCTTCTGGTAGAGGGTTTCAACATGAGTCCGTTTGTGGAGGGTTCCATAAGGACCCCCCAGCGCAATGCTTGCGACACGCAAGCGCAATGCCAACGCACTGTCAAGCGTTACGTCAACGCAATGCCACATGCGATGCCAAACCATGGCCAAACCAATGCTAATGCAATGCTAAGCGGTGTAGCTCTTTCTTTCGCTCAATACCAAAAACGACATCCGTGGGGAAGGAGGAGGAGGAGGAGGAGGAGGAGGAGGAGGAGGAGGAGGAGGGTGGGGGAGAGAGGAAGGAGGGAGCGAAGCAGCGCGGAGGAGGCAGGAGGCAGCCCCCATAAAAAAACAATGAACAATTATGCTAACGGAGTTCCCCACATAAAGATGTTACGGGGTTCCATTGCGTCTTGTCTGCGCTCTGGTGGGGCCTCCCTGGAGGGGTGGGAGGGGCACGGAACCTGATAAATAACATGGTGTGCGAATACCTTGCCCGCTCTGGTGGGGCCTCCCTGGAGGGGCGGGAGGGGCACGAAACCTGATAAATAATATGGTGTACGGATACCCTGCCCGCTCTGGTGGGGCCTCCCTGGAGGGGTGGGAGGGGCACGACACCTGATAAATAACATGGTGTGCGAATACCCTGCCCGCTCTGGTGGGGCCTCCCTGGAGGGGCGGGAACGGCACGAAACCTAATAATAAAATATGGCGTGCGAATACCCTGCCCTATCTGGCGGGGCCTCCCTGGAGTGGCGGGAGGGGCACGAAACCTGATAAATAATATGGTGTGCGAATGCCCTGCACGCTCTGGTGGGGCCTCCCTGGAGGGGTGGGAGGGGCATGAAACCTGATAAATCATATGGTGTGCGAATACCCTGCCCGCTCTGGCGGGGCCTCCCTGGAATGTTGGGAGGGGCGCGAAACCTGATACATAACATGGTGTGCGGATACCCTGCCCGCTCTGGTGGGGCCTCCCTGGAGGGGTGGAGGGGCACGAAACCAGATAAATAACATGGTGTGCGAATACCCTGCCCGCTCTGGCGGGGCCTCCCTGGAGGGGTGGGAGGGGCACGAAACCAAATAAATAACATGGTGTGCGAATACCCTGCTCGCTCAGGCGGGGCCTCCCTGGAGGGGTGGGAGGGGCACGAAACCTGATAAATAACATGGTGTGCGAATACCTTGCTTGCTCAGGCTGGGCCTCCCTGGAAGGGTGGGAGAGGCACGAAAACTTATAAATAACATGGTGTGCGAATACCCTGCTCGCTCAGGCGGGGCCTCCCTGGAGGGGTGGGAGGGGCAGGATACCTGATACATAACATGGTGTGCGAACACCCTTCCCGCTCTGGTGGGGCCTCCCTGGAGGGGTGGGAGGGGCACGAAACCTGATAAATAGCATGGTGTGCGAATACCCTGCTCGCTCAGGCGGGGCCTCCCTGGAGGGATGGGTGGGGCAGGAAACCTGATAAATATCATGGTGTGCGAATACCCTGCTCGCTCAGGCGGTGCCTCCCTGGAGGGGTGGGAGGGGCACGAATCCTGATAAATAACATGGTGTGCGAATACCCTGCTCTCTCAGGCGGGGCCTCCCTGGAGAGGTGGGAGGGGCACGAAACCTGATACATAATATGGTATGCGAATACCCTGCTCGCTCAGGCGGGCCCCTCTGGAGGGGTGGAGGGGCACGAAACCTGATAAATAACCTGGTGTGCGAATACCCTGCCCGCTCAGGCGGGTCCTCCCTGGAGGGGTGGGAGGGGCACGAAACCTGATAAATAACATGGTGTGCGAATACCTTGCTCGCTCAGGCGGGGCCTCCCTGGAGGGGCGGTAGGGGCACGACACCTGATAAATAACATGGTGTGCGAATACCTTGCTCGCTCAGGCGGGGCCTCCCTGGAGGGGTGGGAGGGGCACGAAACCTAATAAATAACCTGGTGTGCGAATACCCTGCTCGCTCAGGCGGGGCCTCCCTGGAGGGGTGGTAGGGGCACGAAACCTGATAAATAATATGGTGTGCGAATACCCTGCTCGCTCAGGCGGGGCCTCCCTGGAGGGGTGGGAGGGGCGCGAAACCTCATACATAACATGGTGTGCGAGCGCCCTGCTCGCTCAGGCGGGGCCTCCCTGGAGGGGTGGGAGGGGCACGAAACCTGATAAATAACATGGTGTGAGGAAAGGCATGGCATGGTATGGGGTGGTGGAAGCATGGTATGGTATGGTAAGGTATGGTATGGAGTGGCATGGTATTGGCATGGTATGATACAGTATGGGATGGTGGAAGGAGCGGGAGGAGGAGGAGGAGGAGGAGGAGGAGGAGGAGGAGGAGGAGGAGGAGGAGGAGGAGGAGAGGATGTTCTGGGAAAACAAGAACCCCGCTCAGGATGTGGGGAAAAACCATGAGGTCGCGCCGCGGTTCTTTTTGCTGTCTTCATTTTTTTGAGGGGGGGGCAGGAGAAGCAAAAAGCTAGATTCTGGGGCAAGGAGGAGGAGGAGAGGAGGAGGGAGCGGACCAGCGCGAAGGAGGAGGGGGGGGAGCCCCCACCACCCAAAAAATAAAGAACGAACGACAGACAGACACACCATCCCTTAGACCGCGCCGCGTTTTTTGAAGGGGGGTGCAGGCAAAGCAGAAAGTTCGATTTTGGGGGAAGGAGGGGGAGGAGAGAGAAGGAGGAATAGCAGGAGTAGGAGAAGGGGAAGAAAGAGGAAGGGGAGGAGGTGAAGGAGGAGAAGGAAGAAGAGGAAGACCGTTCGGAAATTTCACGAAGGACCATACGAAAACACTCGTCGAAAGGCGAGGGACTCCACAACCCCCCGTTCTCGAGGAGGGGGGAGGGGGGAGGGGGGAGGAGGAGGAGGAGGAGGAGGAGGAGGAGGAGGAGGAGGAGGAGGAGGAGGAATCGGAGGAGGAGCAGAAGGAGCAGGAGGAGGGGGCGATACTGATGGTGATGATGATGATGATGATGATGATGATGATGATGATGATGATGATGATGATGATGATGATGATGATGATGATGATGATGATGATGATGCTGACGACGGTGCTGATGATGATGATGAGGAGGAGGAGGAGGAGGAAGATGAGGATGAGGAGGAGGAGGAACATGATGAAAATGATGAGGATGAGGATGAGGATGATGTTGATGATGCTGATGATGATGATGATGATGATGATGGCGATGATCATGACGAGGACGAGGATGAGGATTAGGATGAGGATGAGGATGAGGAGGAGGAGGAGGAGGAGGGGGGGGGGAGGGGGAGGAGGAAAGGAGGAGGAGGGATAATGATGGTGATGATGATGCTGATAGGATGAGGATGATGATGAGGATGATGAATGATGATGATGATGATGATGATGCTGATGCTGATGCTGATGACGATGACGATGACGATGACGATGACGATGACGATGACGATGACGATGACGATGACGATGACGATAACGATAACGATGATGATGATGATGATGATGATGATGATGATGAATGGATGAGGCTGATGTTGATAATGATGATGAGTGATGATGATGATGATGATGATGAGGAGGAGGAGGAGGATGACGAGGACGAGGACGAGGACGAGGATGAGGATTAGGATGAGGATGAGGATGATGATGATGATGATGATGAGGAGGAGGAGGAGGAGAGGAGAGGAGGAGGAAGGGGGGAGGGGGGGAGGGGGAGGAGGAGGAGGACGAGGAGGAGGAGGAGGATAACGATAGTGATGATGATGATGCTGATGAGGATGATGAGGATGATGATGATGATGAGGAGGATGATGATCATGATGATGATGATGATGATGATGATGATGATGATGATGATGATGATGATGATGATCATCATGCTGATAGCTATAGCTGATGCTGATGCTGACGATGCTGACGATGACGATGGCGATGACGATGACGATGACGATGACGATGATGATAACGATGATGATAACGATGATTATAACGATGATGATAATGATGATGATGATGATGAAGAAGAAGATGATGATGAGGATCAGGATCAGGATCAGGATCAGGAGGAGGAGGAGGAGGAGGATGATGATGATGATGATGCTGCTGCTGATGCTGATGCTGATGCTGATGCTGATGCTGATGCTGATGCTGATGCTGATGCTGATGCTAGTGATGATGACGATGAGGAGGAGGAGGAGGACGAGGAGGAGGAGAAGGAAGGGAGGAAGCGGAAGCGGAAGCGGGAGCGGGAGCGGGAGCGGAAGCGGCGGGGAGGAGAAGGCGCAGAGAGGGTCGGAGGAGGAGGAAGGGGCGGAGGAGGATGGCAGATCTAGCGGGGAGGTTGAGAAGGGGATGAGAGGTGGAGGAGCAGGAGTGGGGCCGGAGGGTGTTGAAGGAAGGGAGAAGGACGACTGCGGGATTCTGAAGGAGGGAGGCTTGAGGAGGGGAGGAGGGGAGGATGGGTGAGGGAGGAGAGATGTAGTGAGGGAGGAGGAAGGATGGAGGGCAGGGGGATGGAGGCAGACTGAATGGAAGGAGGCGGAAATAAGGATGGAGTGAGGGAGGGAGACAGAATCGGGGAAGGAGGGATGGAGAAAGGATGAGGATGCGCCGAGCGATTTCGAACTGTAGCACTTGTTGCCGTCGCGCTTTGTTGCGCTCCGTCGTGGGGTCTCGAGGCGTCCCCAGAGGAGCAAGAACTGCCAGTCTGCACACAGAGCGGAGTCCCATCGCGCACCGACCACAGAGAGGCTGGAGATCAGGACAGAGGGGGAAACAGAGATCCAGAAGGAGCAAACGCCCGGAGAGATTCCGACAGGCATGACAAAGGAGGTGATGAGCAGCAGCAGTAGGAGTGGGCGCATGATGCAGAGGAGGAACGGGAAAGGTGAGACGCAGGTGGAGGTACGAGGAAGGGGGAGGAGGAAGGTGGAAACCGGAAAGGAGGACGTACGAACAAATAGAAGGAGGACGAGGAGGAGGATCAGGAGGAGGGAGGACGAGGAGGAGGCAGGAAGAGGAGAACAACCGAGGCGACAGGGGAGGAAGAGGAGGAGAAGTGAGACAGGGATGAGGACAAGGCCGAGGTCGAACGAGGAGGGAGCGGTAGAAGAGAAGGAGGAGGAGGAGGATGAGAGGAGGAGGATGAGAGGAGGAGGATGAGAGAAGGAGGAGGAGGAGGAGGAGGAGGAGGAGGAGGAGGAGGAGGAGGAGGGAGGGGGAGGGGGAGGAGGAGGGGGGCCTTCTGCTCCGCCTTGTCTTGGCCAGCCTTCCACAGGGCTCCAGCTACCCCTCCCCCCCGGACCTCGGCATCCGTTCCACTCCCTCGCTTGCCCGCGGCCCGCTTCGGCTGCGTGTTTTAGGGCCCCCCTTTAACAGGGACGTGTATCAACCAGGACGTTGGCGCGCCCGAGAAAAATGCAACCGAGGGTCGAAACATTTGCTATGCTTCGTTCTCTCCCGGTGGCATGTCCTGGTGTTGGGTGCCCTGAGTGTTCTTCTGGAAGTTGTTGGTTTTGTGGTCACTCCGCCTCTGGCGTGACTTCCTCGCCGTCGTTCCAAGAAGGTCGCTTTACCTCGTAGCGCCCCCACTGAAAGACGAGTGGCCCTGCCAATCAAAAGGAAGGGAAAGGAAGGGCGGGAGGGGGGGGAAGGAGGAGAAGGAGGAGGAGGAGGAGGTAGACGGTGGACAGTGGAGGGGGAGGATGAGAGGAAGAGGAGAAGGAGGAGGAGGAGGAGAAGAGGAGAAGAGGAGAAGGAGGAGGAGGAGAAGGAGGAGGAGGAGGAGGAGGCCCCGTGTCTCCCCCTTGTGTCTCTGGCCCTCCTCGCTTCCCAGATCACCGATCATTTGTTTTCTCGTACACACTCCTCCTTCATCGTGCCAGGCACGTAGCATTAAGTCGGACCTGCCCCTCTACAGAAGGAGTATTCAAAAATAGTCCAAAAATAGTCTGGGGACGATGTTTTGACTATTTTGGCCCGTTGGGCGGTTTTGTTTTGAGTCTTGTTTTATTTGTTCGCCCAAAATCACCCTGTAGGGGGACACGCCCGACTTAAACGTAGCATCGTAGTTCTGATCGTGAGGGGATCAGTCGGCCAACATTGTGCGGAGCAGACGATGAGAAGCGGCAGCAGCAGCAGCAGCCACAGCAGCAGCGGGAGGGAGGGGCCTCCCTTCCCTCCCTTCTCCTTTCACCTCTACTACCTCGCACATCGCGTGGTCCGCCTTCCTTATCCCCCTCCCCTCCATCCTCGTCAGCCCCGCATCCTCTCCCTCCATCCTCCCATCCTCAACCAGCCAGGGAAGGAAGGCAGAGAGGGGAGGGAGGGGGAAAGAGGGTAAAAGGAGAGTGGAGTGGAGGGGAGGGGAGGGGAGGAGAGGGGAGTGGAGTGGAGAGGGTGGAGGAGGAGCAGGAGGAGGAGGAGGAGGAGGAGGAGGAGGAGGAGGAGAAAGGAGGAGGAGAAAGGAGGAGGAGAGAGAAAGGAGAGGAGGAGGAGGAGGAGGAGGAGGAGGATCCCCTACAGTTGCATCCGCTTCCCCCCACAGTTGCATCCTCCCCCCCCATCGGCCGGCGACCCGGGCGAGAGGCGATGTGCAGCAGGCACGTGGAGGAGCACGAGGAGGCGGGCATCGCAGGCGCGGGGTCATGGCATGAGCACTGCAGGGCCAGGAGGGGAAGGGAGAGGGGAGAGGGGGGAGGACGGAGGAGGGAGGAGGGAGGAGGAGGAGGAGGAGGAGGAGGAGGAGGAGGAGGAGGAGGAGGAGCAGCTTTGTGGGCAGGTATACGGGGCGTCGTTTACGCGTGCGCCGACGACGTAGGCGGGGTCATCCTGAGGCTTCGCTTCATCACGGTGCTCTTTAGGATCTTCCAGTGGGCTCAGAAATTCGCGGCCCTCATCCCGAAAACGGCGAGGCGTTTTATCGCTCCCTCGAGCGGTCCCTTCTCTTCTCCGAGGAGCCGGCGCCCAGGCGTTCGGCGGCCCTTTTTTTCGGAGCTGGCCCCAGACTGGTCTGCCTGTGTCGCGGTGCCGAGTCTGACGCATCTCGGGATGTGGGCGGGGCCCAACTCGCACGACAAGTCTTGGCTCGGGCCTCTTGGGAAGTGGCGCTCTCGGGGACACCAACTAGCAGGAGCCAACCCTCCCACCCAGGCAGCAGCCCAGCTGTATACCACTCGGTGCTCGACGGTTCCTTCCTACGTGGCCCAGTTTTTGCCGCCGCCTCAGAAGCTTCTAAGTCAGGAGGCCACGATGCTGGCCACGATTTTCCGCTTCCCGCACTGCGCCCTGAGCAGGCTCGGAAGGTTCAGTATGGGGAAATGGGGCCGTCCACGTATTCCCTCTATCACGCTCATCGCATGCGCCGCGCACGGTAGAGCCGCCCTCTCTGTTTTCTCAACTTGTTGGCCGAAGCTCCACGCTTGCGAGAGCAGGCGCTCAGGAGATTGCCGATCGTTGCTGCCCTTCGAGGTGAATGGTCACCGCGGTGGTGGGGGGGAGCCAGATTTATGCCAGCGTCTGATGCTTGCCGCTGCGGGTTTTCCTGCTGATCCTAGGTTGAAGGAGGGGGAGGGGGAGGAGGAGGAGGAGGAGGAGGAGGAGGAGGAGGAGGAGGAGGAGGAGGAGGAGGAGGCGGAGGAGGAGGAGGAGGGGGAGGGGGAGGAGGAGGAGGAGGAGGAGGAGGAGGAGGAGGAGGAGGAGGAGGCATCTTTTCCCTGGATATGAGGAGGTTCGAGGACTGATGGCCGAAGCAGTTTCCTCGGCCCGTGACGGCCGCCGAGCGCGTCGTATCCGAGTTCAGCGCGCTCTGTTGGCCTCGTCGACGGCCACTCTTTTTCCCGCGGGTGTCGTTAGATTTCTGTTTATGTCCGTCGTCTCTGGCGCTGGTTTCCTGACCTCGGGGCGAACATTGAGGCCATCGACTGGCCTGTTGCCCCTCAGAACACGTCCAAGTTAAAGGTATCACACGTGTTTGCCGTGGTGCGAACGCTATCCAAAGCATGGTTGACTCAGCGGAGGTTTCAACAGACGGGGTCCACATGTGTCCTCGGATGTGCCGCCGCGGATTGCATGAGACACGACTGGGTATGCCCAGTCCTCCGCGAGCTGCTTGCCGAAGTGGTGGTTGAGGGGCTGGGTGACGTGGGCGGGTGGGATGGGATCGACACTCTCGGGCTCCTTCGAGCCGTCTCCTGCGCGGCTCAAGGTGCCCATCGCTCTGTGCTTTCTGCACGCTGCATTACGGGCCAGACGCGCCCGATTGTTTCGGCCTCTCGTCAGGAGGGAGGCCCATAGCGCTAGTGCCAGCGAGGCGCGCCAGGCTGCAGCGGTAGTCGGCGTGGCGCGGAGGAGACGGCGGTCCACTCGGCCACGCGCGAGGAGGGAGGAGGAGGAGGAAAGGAGGAGGAGGAGGAGGAGGAAGGAGGAGGAGGAGGGGGAGGTAGGGAGGAGAAGCGAGGAGGAAGGGGGAGGGAGGATGAGGCTGATGACGATGATGATTCAGATGATGAGGATGATAACGATGATGAGGATGGTGGTGCTGATGGTGATGGCGTTGATGATGATGATGATGCTGATTATGATGGTGGTGATGATGGTGTGCATGATGATGTTGCTGATGCTGCTGCTGATGATGCTGATGATGCTGGTGGTGTTGATGCCGTTGATGCTGGTACTGACGGTGGTAATGCTGAGTTTGATGGTGATGCGTACGATGATGCTTATGATTATGGTAATGGTGTTGATGGTGATGATGTTGTTACTGCTGCTGCTGCTGCTGATGATGATGATGAAAATGGTGGTGTTGATGATGATGGCGGTGATGATGATGGTGATGGTGGTGATGGTGATGAGGATGGTGATGGTGATGGTGGTGGTGCTGCTGATGACGACGACGATGATGCTGACGATGATGATGGGGATGGCGATGCTGATGACGTTGACGCTGGTGATAGTGGTGATGATGATGCTTATGGTGGTGGTGTTGATGATGGCGGCGATGATGCAGATGCAGATGTGTATGATGATCATGGTGATGATGCTTGGTGATGTGGTGATGTTGTTGGTGACGATGCTGGTGATCGGCGGTATACCGATGGTGATCAGGATGATGATGGTGATTGCCGTGGCGATGGTGATGGTGGTGGTCAGGATCATGATGATGATGGCAATGCTGATGGTGATGCTGATGACCATGGTGGTGGCGGTGATGGTGATGATGATGATGATGATGATGATGATGATGATGATGCAGATGATGGTGACGATGCTGATAGTTATGGTGATGACGATGGTGAAGATGATGGCGATGGTTATGATGATGATAATGATGGTGGTGGTGACGGTGGTGACGATGATGATGGTGATGATTGGCATGGTGATAATGAGTCACGATGGTGTTGATGAGGATGACGCTGATAGTGATGATACAGTCAACTCGCACAGTTAGGATGGGAAGCCGTCCCAAGGGTACCCTTGCATCCTTGCCTCTTCGGTCCATCCTTGGCCATTTTCGTTGGCCGCGCCCCGCTCGAAAAGCTTCGAAATGGGCGTCCAAGGCCCTTGCATCCTTATCGCGCATCCTTGCCATACGGGTTGACTGTAGTGATGATACAGATGATGGTGCTGATGATAACGATGACGTCGGCGATGACGAGGATGATATGGAGGATGATGGAAAGGTGGAAGGGAACAGCCTCCCTCCCGCCCATCCCTCTCCATTGCGCTGACGCTGTCCCTGTCCGCGGACGCGTGTCATAGACGACTTGAAATTCTTTCGCGCCAGTAAAGCACCCTCATAGCAGCAAAGGTGGCTTGTGGGACCAGGCAGGAAGGAAGGGGGGCCAACGGAACGGAACGGAACGGAATGGATTGACACGAGTTTTGCGCGGCCAGGGGGGGGGGGTCGAAAAGCGAGAGGGGGCGAGGCAAGCTAGGTGCGCAAGTGTCTTATCTCACGTCCTACCCCTCCCTTTCCATCCTTTACCATGGCGTAGACCTCCTCTCTAGCCGCACAGCCGGATGTCGCTGCATGGCATCGCATTACATGGCACAGCATAGCGTTGAAGATCAAAGCGTAACATGACAGAACATGGCGTGGCATTGCGAGGTCAAGCGCTGCATATCCTAGCATTGCAGCAGAGGGCATGACATCGCACAGCGGGACACAACGTGGCAGCGCAGTGCATGTCACGGCATGGAATTGGAAATGAGGCCAGCGCTGCAGCGGGAGCACGATTCGGAAAAAGCAGAAACGCGGAAATGAGGCCAGCGCGGCAGCGGGAGCACGGTTCGGAACGAGCGGAAGCGCGGGAATGAGGCCAGCGTTGCAGCAGGAGCACGATTCGGATCGAGCGGAAGCGCGGAAATGAGGCCAGCGCAGCAGCGGGAGCACGATTCGGATCGAGCAGAAGCCCCAAAATGAGGCCAGCCTTGCAGTGTGAGCCACAGTTTGGAGGAACCGAAAACACTCGGATTGGAACAAACACATACAACAGCCAAATTCGCAGGCATTCGATGGGTAAAAAACAATACGCGGACGGGGGCGCGCTCCATCATTGGGGTCTTCAGGTGGGAGAGGAGAATAGAGGGGGAGGAAGGTGGAGGGATGCAGTGGAATGGAACGGGGCGGACTGAAATGGAATGACACGGGCGCTGCGCGGTCGGGAGGGGAAGGGGCGTCGAGGAGCGATTGGGGGAGGAGCGACGGGCGGGGAGGGGCGAAGGGGGGGCGGGGGCGATTGGGAGGAGCGATGGGGGAGAAGGGGGGGGGGGGAGCGGTCGGGACAGGGGGAGTCGAGGAGGGAGGGGGGGAGGAGGAGAGGAAGGGGATGAGGGGGACGAGAGGCAGGCAGCACGGCGAGGCCTGTACGCTGGCCTTCGGCCATCGAGGGGCTTGCGAGGGAGCGGCTGAAGGGGCTGATCTCTCCCCGGCCGCCCCAGCAGCACAGCCTGACCCCCCCGGCGGACGTTGCCCTCCTCCGCCCCCATCCATTTCCTCCTCCCTCCTCCCTCCTCCTCCTCCTCCCCTCCTCCTCCGCCGGTCCTCCTCCTCCTCCTCCTCCTCCTCCTCCTCCTCCTCCTCCTCCTCCTCCTCCTCCTCCCCCTCCATGCGTTGGCACCGCATTGCATGCCGTGGCATGGCACCAGATGAATTGGAGGGTAAGCGGCCCGTCTACGAAAGGATAGGGCCTGTCCGGACTGCCGGCTCCACGTCCTCCGCAACCGTGCCTGCTCGATGTGGACGTTTTCGAATCCCTGGTGCCGTCCGGAGGCGCGGTAACGAGGCCAGCGCTACAGCGGGAGCACGGTTTTGAATGACCGAAGCGCGGAAATGAGGGCGGCGTTGCAGCGGGAGCACCAGTTTGGAAGAACCAGAAACGACTGGATGGAAAAACATATAGGAAAAAACAGAAAATCAAGCCCGAGGTTGAAAATCAATACGCGGAGAGGACGGGACATTCTCCAGACAGAGCTTGGGGAGAGAGGAGAGTAGTATTCATATTGTGTCATCGTGGGGAAGGGGGGGGGAAGGAGGAGACGGAGGGAGAGGGGGAGGGGGAGGGGGGGAGGAGAGGAGAGGAGAGGAGGAGGAGGAGGAGGAGGAGGAGGAGGAGGAGGAGGAGGAGGGGAGGAGGAGGAGCAGGAGGAGGAGGAGGGGCGGAGGAGGAGGAGGAGAAGGAGGAGGAGGAGGAAGAAGCGGAGCAGGAAGAGGAGGAGGAGTAGAGGAGGAGGAGGAGGAGAGAGGGAGAGGAGAGGAGGCGAGGAGGAGGCGGAGAAGGAGGGGAGAAGGAGGAGGAGGGGGGAGTAGGAGGAGGAGGAGGAGGAGGAGGAGGAGGAGTGAGGAGGCAGGGCGGAGCAGGAGCAGGAGGCGAAGGAGGTGGTGGAGGAAGAGAACGAACAGGAGGAGGAACAGGTGCAGGAGGAGGAGCAGGGGGCGGGGTGGGAGCAGGAAGATGAGCAGGAGGTCTCTACCTCCTCCTCCTCCTCCGCCTCCTGCTCCTCCTCTTCATCAACATCATCATCACCATCATCGTCATCAACAGCAACAGCAGCAACAACAATAACATCAGCAACATCAGCAACAGCAACAACAACACCAACAACAGCTACAACAACAACCACAACCACAACAACCACAACTACCACCGCAACACC